TCCTTTAGGGCTGCAAGTGCTCGTACCCCCCCGTGTAAACCACCGATCAATCACGGTGCTGGCACCCACCCCACCCAACCGCCCCCTTAGCCCCAGTCAACTCTGACAACTATGGCAATGCTGCGCAGCGGGGCTCACTAGAACACCAGGAATCCCCCACTCGCGTATCCCGTGCCCAGCGTGTTGCCCCGCACGGCCGCCTCGAGCGAGGTCGTGTTGTGCAGGAGCGGCGGCAGCGGACCCGCAGTCAGGTCGGTCGCAAACGTTGACAGCAGGGGGTAGAGTGACATGCTGGCCCGCCCGATAAGCGCTCGCTGAGCTACCACTGCGAGTCGCGCGGGTGGAACAGGCGGTGCACTCGCGCCGCCGCACGCTGTGGGGTGTGCCGCCCCATGGCGTGGCCGGTCCTGCACTGTTGCGTGGTGTGGCTGCACAGGCCTCCCTGTGCCACCGTGGCCGTGCTGCAACTGAATCTTGACGCCACAGAGCAACCTCAGCTACCGTGCCACCCGTTTAGGTGGCGTCAACTCCTTGCCCCTGCTGGTGTGCACGCGCAGCTGTGCAACGCGCTTCGGCTGCGGTGCCCCTGCGGAGGCCCACTCACACTCACCTTGATTTACTTGTTATTAATCGACGACAGGCTTCCAACTGCGCCAGATTCTCTGACTTTACGCTACCGGTGAGTTCTGTTCCTTCGCATCAACCACGACCGTCTGGCGAACCCCAGTTTGTCCGTCCCTCTTCAACACAAATCCCGATTGCGCACCCCTTCAGACCCCTCTGCTAGTCTCCAGGTGCCCGAAGGCACGGGTCACCAGTGCGCTCGATTTGTGGTGTGAAGCACCTAGCTGTGTTGAGAGCGGTAGGATTTACAACCGGTGGTTGTTGCAAATCTGGTGGCGCCTGTGAGCTGAAGTGTTCGGCACCCGAATGACGGGCGCATTGTTGGTCAGCATGCAGCCAGTCGCGACGTAGTTCGCAGCAGCATCGGTGGTGCAAACACGATGGCCCCCTTAAAAATCTGTGGTTGCTGTAGAGACAAGAGGCCGACCAGTACTGTACCAGTTCACCAGACGCAGCAAGGCGGCACAAGCAACAGTTGACAGGATTATGGATAGGACTCTCGCACACACCGCGCTCGCCCGCTTCTGGAGCCATTCAGCCTCGTAGGGTTGGGAGTTTACATTGAGCAACATGCTGCCAACATAGTAGTTGCATACAAGCATCATTCATCATTCACAGCGGCTGTCCGCCCTCGGCGCCAACCTCGGCACATGCCTCAATCTCGGGCGCCAGCGCGAACCGGCCTGGTCAGGCGGGCGCATTCCACGCCCAGTGACCCTCCTGCCCTCCATATGAGGTTGGCGGCTATCCACCCTCTGCGACCACACGCCCGTCTGATTCATGCCGTGGCGTTGAAGCGCCGCAGGCCCGCGCGCCAGCACTTGTCGAGCACGCGGGAGCGCCCTGTGAGCTTGGCGGCAGGTCAGGAGGACACCCACACCAGCAATGACACGCCCAAGCTGCCGGTTGTGGGAAGCGTTTGCCGTAGAGTCGAAAGCTTGATCGGCGACGCCGCAGTGTGGTCAGACAGCAACGCTGCTGTGGAACCAGCGATGCCGATGCTGCGCATGAGTAGGAGACGCTGCGCCAGCTTGTTTGCACCAACTCTGCAGGATAACCCTGACTATAACCAACTGCAGTGCAAACTTGGACACACACCACAAGATTACTTGCCAGCGCCTGAAAAAGAAACAGTGCAGCATTGTGATGTGAGGGCTTCGATGCTGAGGCAGGTTCCTGGGGATGCTGGTTTGGGCGGGTTGGAGAACCGGCTGCAGGCAAGGAGCTGCGCAGCGAGGCAAACTTGCCATATCCATGTTATGTGAAGTCATCTACGCGCAGGCTGCGGACGTGATGCACCCCCTGGGGTTGCACGTTGGGGCAGCTGCCAACAAGTGGAGACTGTGACGGCGTCGCTCCAGGCTGCCTCATCCCAGGTTCTCGACGGGTCGCCGCCCGCCAGGCAGCCCGTTCCTCGCGCGCGGCACCACCCACAGCCCCTGCCCCGGCCGCAGCGTGATGGCCTGCGCCGCCGCCGCGTCGACGCCCTCGGGCGTGGAGCCGGGTGCCAGGTCGAAGGAGAAGTGGCCCAGCAGCAGGGCCAGGGCCGCCTTGAGCTCCACCACCGCCAGGCCCTGGCCAACGCACGACCTGGGGGGGCACGGGGCGCGGGGCTCGTGTTCGAGTGGTGCACAGACACCACTGCGTGCAGGGCAAGCCTGGCGAGCAGCGACGCTTGCGAGGAGTGGAAAGGTTGTGGGCTCCTGAGCTGGTCAGGTGAGCGGTGCAGACACAGGGCCGGTAGAAAGGGGAGGGGGGGGTCAGGGGCTTGGTGTGCTGACGCCCACCTGGTGCCCTGGGAGAAGGCGAGGAAAGCAGACGGCTGCGCCAGCGCCGGCCCCTCGCACGCCCGGGTCGCTCCCTCCCCGCCATCGCCGCCGCCCCCGCTCCTGCCACCGCTGTCCCCCCTGCTGCTGCGGCGCCGCTCCGGTCCTGATCCGCCCTTGCCGCCGCCGCCGCCAGTGCTGCTGCCCTGGCCGCTCGCCATCTCCTCGCCGCCCACGCCGCATCGCGCGTCCTCCTCCAAGCCCCCGCCCGCCTGCCCGCCGCCCTCGTCGCCGAGCCACCGCTCAAAGGGCAGGAACTCGTCCGGCCGCACCCACAGCCGCGGGCTGCGCATCACCGCGTAGGTCGGCACCATCACGGGCATGCCCCTGCACAGCCTGTGCCCCCCAATCTCCATATCCTCGTGCGCCACGCGCGCGGTGCCCGTGGCCACCGCGGGGTACAGCCTCATCGCCTCCTGCAGCGCTGCTGACAGGCGCCTCAGGCGCGCCAGGTCTGACCACTCCAAGCGCCGCGGGGTGGGGCGGTGGGGGGCCGCCGCGAGGTCCCCCAGCTCCTCCAGTATGGCGGCCTCGACGGCGGGGTGTGTGGATACCAGGAAGATGGCCCAGGACAGGGTGTGGGCGGTGGTCTCAAACTGAGGCGGTTGCGGCGGGTGGGGAGTCGGTGCAAGCGGGTGATGTTTGGGGTTGGTGCGCCGCTATTTGGTCGAGCGAGGCCAGGGGCCAAGCGTGTGGCAGGGGAGCAGTCGGTGCGGGGGGGCAGGCCCGGTGTCAGGGGCCTTGTTGGGGGTTGCGTCCATCACACAGGGTGGATGCTCCCTGCACGCTGAGGCAGCTGACTCAAGGCATCGGAGCAGTTGCACAAACACACAACAAGATGTCACAACCCGTGCGCACATCAGGGCCAGGCGCCCAGAGGTGCGCCATCGCAGCGGGCTCACCCCTGCTCCCCAGAGCAGCGCCAGCTCTGCGATCATCTGGCGTCGTGACAACGGGCGGCCTGGCCATATGTTGCAGGGGCCAGGGCAGGGCAGGGATGGGGGAAGGGGCCAGGTGGCACCACCAGGCTGACAGTGTTTGTGACGTAACCATGCTGCGACCGGCCGCAATGCCTGTTGAAGCTGAATTCAGCGCAGAGAATGCACCCCCAAGGCAGCAGCACACAGGGAGTGGCGGCTTGCACCAGCCTGGCATGCGTGCTGCGACCTGTTTCCCTGCCCCACCTTGCGCGTCCCGTATCGCCATCACGTGCGCCGCCAGGGTGTGCGGCGGCGGGGGGCTGGCCTCCTGCCGGGGCGGGACAAGAGGCGCGGTGAGGCCAAGGGGTTTGGCGCGAAGAGCCCTGCCCGGCGTGGCGTGTGCTGTGCAGGACACATCCTACAGCTTCCCAGGCAGCCCCACATTCCAGCCATTCAGCCAGCAGGTTTACCCCCCAACAACATCTTGACAATAGACACGTGTACCGAAACTGAACTACGTTGCGGCATCTCATCACAAACATGAGCAGCCAGTGTGTTGTGATGCTCACAACCGATGGTCACAGCCGATGAGCCCGTCACTCATGCCACAACCCCCTCCCCCCCGCCCACCATGTCTGTCAGCAGGCGGTCCACCAAGCTGTGCAGCCGCTTGCCCCACCACCTCAGGTCACGCGGGGCCTGGGGGCAAGGGGTGCGTGTTTGGGGGGGATTCGGGGTAAGGGGGGTTGCATGGGCTTGGGAAACACAGTCAACATGGACACATCGTCCCCCTGGGCTCGACAGTGCTCAAGACCGCCGGTGATAGGCGTCCCAGCGGCGCAGCAAAGTATACGACTTCTTTGAATGCAGCCCGTTGCAACCGCACCCGGGAGTGGCCGCTGCCCCCAGCCGCACCTTGCGCCAGGGCAGCCACCTGTTGAGGGGGTTGTTCATCTCCTGCATCGCCGCGGTGACGCGCCGTACGGCCTCCAGCGGCTCCTGGCTGCTGCCCAGCACATAGCTCCCAAACTGCCTGGCTTGGCGCGTGCATGGAAGAGGAGGGTCGCGGTCAGCTTGATGGTTGAGCTCACCCATGTGGGTAGTGAGGCAGCAAGGATGTGGCATAGCGGGGTGGCTGCACCCCTGTCACGAGGCGGTTGAAACAGGATTCAAGGGCTTGCACGGCACCATTCCGCTCCCCACAGCCCAGTCTACTGTTCTCTCGGTCTGCTGTGCCCATGACCCACGCCCCTATCACCCTACACACCCATGGTTCACTCACCGCGCGAACCCAAACTCCCCAATGATGTCAATGGTGAGGCGCTGCGCGACGTCATCAAACTCGATGGGCGACTCGCCGTGACGGCGCAGCTCGCCCACGACCCGCAGTGTGGCGGTCACCATTGGGTCAAACGCGCGCCTTTGGGGGGAGGGGGTGAGGAGGGCAGGACACGAGTGTAAGACGGGCGTGTGCAGGGCAGGGACAAATTGGATAAGGCAAGCACACTTCCTAAGGTTGACCTTTGCGCTCGCGTACGTGCACTGTCATCAGTGTAGGACGCTCGTGTGCGTGTGTATGTATCGCATGTGTGTATGCACGCATGCATGCTTGAATGCATGCTTGCTGGTCATTGTGCATGCGCAGGTGCACAACGGTGCAGCTCCAAAGGTGGCAGCCAGGCAGTATGACTGACGAAGACCTGCTCCACCCCCTGCACATGAGAGGTGTGCACATACCCACAAGCACCTGCCCCCTGCGAGGCACCGCTGCCCCCACCTGAGGTTTGCGGTCTGGAAGGCCGGCACCACGGCCCTCTTGACCCTGCGCCAGTGCTCGTCCTCAGCGCGCGTCAGCATGCTGGGTGTCGGGGGGTGGATCAGGTGCTGCAGGCGCTTGTAGGGCGTCTGGCAAAAGAAGGTCGCGGGAGGGGAGGCGCGGGTTGTGGCTGTCAGGGGTGGGCCGAGGGGGACCGCTCTTTACGCTGGGTTCACATGGGCCAGGCACGAACACAACAAATTGAATTATGACACAACAGCACAAGCAAAGACGAGTGCGCCACGCGGTCCAAGCAGGTTGTCAAAGCCATGAGATGGCGGAGGCAGATTCCGTGGCGGGGCGTGTCTGCGGCCCACCAGGTATTTCTCCAGGTGGCGCGGCCCAGCCCGCAGCAGCGGGCCAAACAGGTCCGGGTCAGACACCACCACCACCTGCGCACGCGCGAAAGGGGTAGCATGGGGGCAGTTGAAGCACCGCCTCGTTGCTGTGACGGCCGCATCAGCTGAGCGGACGCAACGCGCTTCGTCGTGACCTCGCCTCGGCAGGGCTCGCAGCGGCTGGGGAGGGCAAGCCAAGCGCTCGCAGCTTTGCTGTGTGCCAAGAGCGGTGGTGCGGTGCGGCGAGCGGATTGCTGCCCCTGCAGCAGCGGGGCCGCGCTGCGGCTGCCCAATGGCTGCTGTGTCAATGGAAAGCGTCTGCTCACCGCGTTCCACATGAATCTGACGGTCCACACGGGGCCGTGCGCCTTGTCCCACTCCCCAAACAGCCGGAAGCTCTCCCCCGGCCGCGACAGCAGCACCGGCAGGTGGCCCAGCAGCCAGTGGGCCGGCGGCGGCCCGGGGATGCGACGCGAGCACCACAGGCGCGCGGCGATGACGCGCCAGGCTGGGAGTTGACGGAGGAGCACCAGCAGCACCGCGAGCGCTGTCACGCCGGCGCACCAAAGCTGGGGGTCCCCCATCATCGGGCCGCGCGTAGATGTAGAGCCGGAGCTGGCTAGCAAGTTTAGAATGCTGTGTAGCCCTGCAGACAATCAATGCTTCTCAGCTTGGCGGCATGGCCACCCTGGCGCCATGTGCTGAGCGCTCCCTGCCTGGGTGGCGTGTCGCCCACACGCTGACGCCGACGAGAGTCGTGACCGAAAAGCACTAGAGTTGGTGGCGGCGTATCAACGCAATTCTCAGTTATTAAGATATGCCGGTGGCAGCTCTAAACTCAGCAAGTCGCAGCGTTGCATAATCCAGTGTGGGTTCACGGACCTTCAGATCATAACCCAAGGCCCAACGAGGTGTCAAATACCACAATTCAAAAGCGCGGAATCAAGGGACATCGTGTGCGACCGGTCAAGCGCTTCACACGCATCCTCCGCCTGCGTTTGCTTGGAAGTCACTGGGTGACGGGTGAACGACGCACCAAGAGCTTGGCTGCGCGGCACGAGGGACACCCAAGGCCACATGTGTGCTGCACCCAGGACATCATTGCCGGCAATCCACAATGGACTGCTACACCCGCCTTCTTTGGTCGCCGCTGTGATGGCCGTGGAGGGCGCCCCCGAGATGGCAGGGTCTAATCAGGTGACGTAGCACCGGCAAACAGATGGCAGGTGTCTGCGGCCAGCAACAATGCGGCTTTCAGGTTTGTGATCGGGAGCGTAGGCACGCTGGTGGACAAGGAAGGTGTGAGCATGCAAAAAGTCGGCGCACCTGTTGACCCAACGAAGTTCCGCTGGCCCTCTATGCACAAACATGCTGACTAGTCACCCGGCAAGGGATTCTTGGCTGTTTTTGGTGCGCACAACCAAACGCACGCCATCTGCATGGTGGGTCCAAAAATGCGGACAAATTCCAGCCAGCGCAGCGCGTCTGCTCCTGCCCCAGTTGCGGCATGCTTCGTATCGTAGTGGACCCTTGCCACTCCTGCCCACAGGTGTGTTGCCACGCCTCAAAGCGTGCCGGACACGCGCACGCATGCATCCGCTCCTCATCAGTCATAAGGCCCCCTGCTTGCCCCCCCTGACCCGGTGCAGCGGGACTCGTGTCACACAGATAGCCACCCCTAGGTCACCTGGGGCCAGCACCTGATCCTGCTGGTGTACTGTTTACACAAATCTATCATCCCTGTAGACACCTCAGCGATGAAATTTAGGTTTTGGGGGTGTGGATGCACACCCAGGAACAAGACAGAAGAAAAACGTGGCTAGTGGATGCGGTGATGGCGTGCAAGTGCGTCATGTGGGCATGTGCATGTGTGCGGCAAGGTGTTGATGACGCATGGAGAGTGCTAGATGTGTCCAGTTTGACTCAATCCCGTTGAAATGACCGTTTGTTTTGAGGACGAACAGCATGCGTTTGCACGTCGGCAGCGTGCTCGCCCCCCTCCCCTAAAAATTCCTTGCGCAAAAAGCACTATCACGAGCGCACCATATGTGCATCCCGGCTGCCACTGCTGCTGATCCGGCAATCTCTGCTTGTGCGGGCAGCAGCGTTGGCGGCGGCAGAAGGAAGGGGGGTGGCGGGTTGCGTTGGCTCATCCAGAGGCGCCAGGGGCCCCGCTGGCCCCATTGCCTCCCAGCGCGGCGAAGAGGAGGAGGTTGTCAATGCCGTGAGCCAGACTAGCCGCGCCGCAGGGGATGTTGGGCATCACTATGTTGGCAGTCGATGCCCTGCAATCGTGATTGGGTGCGGTTTGTGCTGAGGCGGCGCTGCCCGGGGCACCAAGCCGTAAAAGTGCCCGGGCGCCCCCATGGGCTTGAGGATTGGACGGTTTGAGGTGTTTGCAGGGGGCCACTGATCCCCCTTGAGACAAGCCCCCCCTGTTTCCCCACACCTATTGCAGCCCGCGCTCGGCCCCCGCCTTGCCATGTCTGTGGCACCCCCCCTCCGTCCAGCACCCACCTGCCCTTAACCCGCATCCCCTTGCCCTGCAGGCTCTCCCCCAGGTTGTACGTTGGCAGCGCCCGCGCCGGCAGCGGCGCGCGCACGGCCTCGTTCCTGACCATATGGTAGAACAGCACCAGCTGCACCATCGGCCGCGGGTAGCGCTGCTGCAGCTGCGCGAACGACACACCGACGCGCGCCGCCGCGTCCCTGAACGCCGCGTCCGTGGGCACGAACAGCGTCGCTTTGAGCTGGGGGTTGCGCAGCGCATCGGCGAGCCCGAGCGCGGCGACTGCGCCACTCATAGCGCCAAACTCAGGGACGCTCGCCAGGGCATCTGCCAGGCTGGCATAGGGTGCCCCGGCCACCACGGCAGGCGCTGACAAGGCCGCATCATCGTCGACGCCGTAGCCGTCGTCGCTGCCGCTTTCCCCCAGCTCCGGGGTTGGGCCGGGGCCCGGGGCACCTTGCATCGCTGGCAGCGCCAGCGGGCCGCGAGCCTGGGGTGTGGGGCCGGCGGCCGCGCCAGTGTTGGGGCTGTTGGTGGCCTCTGCCCCAGTGTCGGTGGTGGTGTCCACCAGGGCCATACGCGGGGCCGCGGGTGCTCCGGCGCCGGGAGCCGCGTTTTGGGCGGCCAAGGTCGCATTGGTGTCTGCGGGGCCGACGTCGGTTTTGGTCGCATCGGCGGGAGGCTCGCTTGTGGCTGGTAGTCCAAACATCTGCAGAAATGGTCGCGGGGAATGGGGGGAGGCGGGAGGTGTGCACCAGGCAGTGAGGCAGGAGGCTGCGCTGCACCATGCTGCCACAACAGTCTACACGAGCCCCCGCATCTCGTCGGTTTTTCTCTAATGCCCGGTGCAGCCCCAGCGCCCATCTTCATCCTACCCACGCCACCCCCGTCGCAGCAGCGCCTGCTTCTGCAGCCACCGCCGCTGCCACCTCGCCCCACCGGACGCCAGCAGTGGCAGCGCGGTGCTCGTACCTGAAGCCCAGGAGCGCGGGGCAGGAACCCTCCGATGGCGGACAGGAAGGAGCCCACCAGGCTGCTCTTCAGGGTGTGCCCGAATGAGATGACCGCCAGCGGGAAAGCCAGGGGCGAGGGGGGCTGGTCGTCACCACCCTCCTGATTCTGCCCGGCTGCAGCAGCATCAGCGCCAGCTGCCGTAGTTGCGTCTGCGGCTGGGCCCGCGCTGTACGCCAAGCCCGCTGCGGCCACCGCGCCCTCCGGTGTGTCCGACCCGGCAGCGGCCGCGGCCGCGCGCGCAGCGTCATCGGCACCACCGGCCGGCGAGGGCGAAGCGGGTGCCTGGCTCAAGGAGCGCCTTGATGGTGGCTCCATGATGTGCAAACCCCCTGCCTGCTCGCCGGCCCTACCCACCGTCATCAGGAGCGCGCGCCCGCGGACCTGCGACAGTGGCACCAGCAGCGGCCTCTCGGCCGCTGCACAGGCCACTAGCAGGAAAACAAGTGAGCGCATTATACGTATTGAGTAACAATGTTTATGTTTTTTGTAGTGCGAGCACACAGCGTCTCTTGCTATAGGAAGTAACCCGAGCGCTGGTCTCACTGGCGCGGGTGACTCCGAAACAGTCCGGCCAATCAGGGCTGCGGATACGGAACATTGAAACTCAAAATATATAAAATAGTGTTTTTCACGCTTCATGTGTTTCTGGCGGCAGATATCGCATCCTGCGCTGGCGCACACCTAGGAGCTCGCACTGCATAGCCATGACGCGGCAGTTCGACTCATGTAGCCCTTGTTCAGCCGAAGAGCTCCGTCGTGTAACGTGCGCTGTTCAAAATCTCCATCGTTTGCACAGCTAGTACCGGTCGATGATGCGCCAATTGTGCCATTACCCGCACAAATGGTTCAAGTTCTGCTCAGCCTACCTACCTGCCGCGGCGCTCAGAGGCCATGAGCACAAAGGAAACTTACTTTTGGGAGCATTATAATCCCACACTCACCTCTGAGCCCAGTCAGGCATGCCTGAAGCATGCAGACACCCCGTCCCAGCCTGGACTTGATGCTTGCGCCTCAGCTTGGCTGCAGCCCAGTTTCTCATCCCTGACACCTTCACAAGGAGCCAACGAGCACACCGTACTCACCTTTATTGGTGTCCCGTCCACCTGACACGGCGCCCGCTCAGTCCGCAGCACAACAGTGTAAACAGAGGCTCACCATGTGTGGACAGTGCGGGCCGCTCCTGCACACGAAAGTACACGCCCACACATCACCCGTGGCGCTTTGAGTAAACCCTTGTCCACGCCGCTTTTGTGGCATCTCACCACACCAGGCACGTGTCCAAGTGTGCCTTGACTCATGGGCGCAGCACGATTTTTGCCCCACCCCGGCGACGCCCCATACCACCGCAGTTCCCTCAGGTGACAGACCTGGTTTTCAATAAGTTGGAATTTAGAAGCGGAACAATCGTTCACAGGCGCACTAACGCGGCTGCGGCGCTCAAGTATGCAGATCTGTGTCGAACGCGCGCGTGATTTTCCTGAAGGAGGCTCTGTAAAAGGATTATCAACTTGAAAAGAAATTTTATTCTCCTTCAAGCGCTTTTGATAGGCATGGCAGCATGACGCCTCGCCGCCGTCGAGGCGCTTTCGCATGCGTGCACGGAACGCTGTCCTGAGACTGCAGGCTCTGTGCTGCAGCAGCACTGGTGGGAGGGGTGGAAATCAGCTGATCCCCGCAGGGAAGGCCAGCATGCCTGGCATGTGGCGCTCAAGCTCAGGAGGGCCTGCGGCCGCCTCGAACGGCAGGAGCAGCACCGCCGGCGTCGCACCCAGGCTGCAGCCGGCGCCGCCTGCGGCGCTGACTCGCCACGGCAGCTCGTGGTTGAGGAGAGGCAGTGGGGCTGGCTCACCCGGCCGTCACCACGCGCCCTTCCCCACGAGAGCTTCAGCAGCGCACCCCGCGCGAGCGCCGTCGCCACGCCCGCCGGGGCCCTTCCCGCCGGCTTCGCCGCCGCAGCCCGGGCCGCGCGCGCCCCCACCGCGTGCTCCCGGGCCGGCGCCCGGCACCACCGGCAACGGCGGCGGCGGCGCACAGTTCCCCCAGAGCGGCAGCAGAGCCCGTCCCCAGTCGCCCACGCCCCAGCCAAATGTTGCGCCCCCCCGCCGGCGCCCTGGCTCCTTGCCCCGCATCTCACCGCCGCGCCCGCCCACCGGCACCGGCAGCAGCGGAGGCAGCAACGGCGGCGGCGGGGCGGCCGGCAGCGGCGGCGCCCCAAGACCGATGCGCGCCGCGGCCGCCCCGCGCGCCC